TAAACACATGGAAACACTTTTAGAAATCACCACAATTAAAACTGCATTCATAAATATCACAACATTGAACCAAATATGTTTTAAACATGTTATTGGACCAGGATGCACCACCAATATGTTGAAAAGCAGGTAATGGACAGAAATCTGGTTTCACCAGGATTGGTCACATTTTACCTGAGAGTCTCCAGGTTGCAGTTTGGACTCTTCAGTCCAGCAGAGAGAAGCTTCACTCCTGAATCCTGCAGGTTGTTGTTACTCAGGTCCAGTTCTCTGAGACTGGAGGACTGGGAGCTGAGAACTGAGGACAGAGCTTCACAGCTTCTCTCTGAGAGGTTACAGACACTCAGTCTGAGGAGACAGGGAGGAAAGTCTGTTATTAAACAATTCATCAGAATTTATGTTCTTTAAATCAACAATGTTTTTATTGGACAGAGAAGGAACCATCTTATTTTACACAACCTTTGCATTTGTTGTGAACTGGTTTATTCTATAGTTGGGCCTCCAGCCTTAAATGACAGAACTGCAGGTAACAAGGATGTTGGAAAGAGAATTATAAAATTACACAATTAACTATATTAATCCAGTTTCAACTTTAGCATAAAGTGGAGGAGTTTTGCTGCTTGAATATGTAACATTATGTTCAGCTGCTGAAGGAGGTCTGTTTCTTTTTTGCTCATCCCCCAGTTGGACACTTTGAAGAGACAAAGCACCAAAATATAAACTGAAACATGAATATTTACCTCATAATTAGCAGATTCCTACCCATCAAAAGTAACTTTATTAACAATGTGTGTCCTTACAGAGCTTTGTTGGAGGCTTTAACCACTGGCAGCAGCCTCAGAAGAGCCTCCTCTGAAGCAGAGTATTTCTTCAGGTCAAACACATCCAGATCTTTTCCTGATGACACTAAGATGAAACCCAGAGCTGACCACTGAGCAGGAGACAGTTTATCTGTGGAGAGACTTCCTGAACTCAGAGACTGTTGGATCTCCTCCACTAGAGAACGATCATTCAGTTCATTCAGACAGTGGAACAGATTGATGCTTTTCTCTGCAGACACATTCTCACTGATCTTCTCCTTGATGTACTGAACTGTTTCCTGATTGGTCTGTGAGCTACTTCCTGTCTGTGTCAGCAGACCTTGTAGGAGTCTCTGATTGGTCTGCAGTGAAAGTCCCAGGAGGAAACGGAGGAACAAGTCCAGGTGTCCATTTGGACTCTGTAAGGCCTGGTCAACAGCTCTCTGATGGAGAGACTTTAGTTTAGGTTTATTAATCAATAAAGACTTCTTAGATGTTGGAGTTTCTCCCATCAGGTTGACTCCAGAGTTGATGAAGGTCCGATGAACATGAAGAGCAGCCAGAAACTCCTGAACACTCAGATGGACGAAGCAGAACACCTTGTCCTGGTACAGCCCTCTCTCCTCTCTAAAGATCTGTGTGAACACTCCTGAGTACACTGAGGCTGCTCTGATATCGATGCCACACTCTGTCAGGTCTGATCCATAGAAGATCAGGTTTCCTTTCTGCAGCTGATCAAAAGCCAGTTTTCCCAGAGACTTGATCATCTTCCTGCTTTTTCGACTCCAATGTGAATCTGTTTCAGC